TCTAGGTCACATGGTGTGAGGGGCGTGAGCTTCCAAAGTTGGAATTTTCAATCACTTGTTATAGCAACTCCATCTGGCCAATTGGCATGGGATGTCATGGGAGGGTGTGGCCTTGGACCCTTTACCATCATGCAAGGTTGCACCCTCCTAGGCCATATCATCTCACAGGAGATGCATCTGGTGGTTACAGATACCTTTAAAAAGTAGGTGGGTGGACCAGAAAAACAGTCAGCATCTGATGTGACCACCATTTGCTTCATGCAGCACGACACATCTCCTTCGCATAGAGTTGATCAGGCTGTTGATTGTGGCCTGTCAAATGTTGTCCCACTCCTCTTTAATGGCTGTGCAAAGTTGCTGGATATTGGCGGGAACTGGAACATGCAGGTCGTACACATCGATCCAGAGCATCCCAAACATGCTCAATGAGTGACATGTGGTGAGTATACAGGCCATGGCAGAACTGGGACCATTTCAGCGTCCATGAATTGTGCACAGATCCATGCTGAAACATGAGGTGATGGCAGCGGATGAATGGCATGACAATGGGCCTCAGGATCTCATCACGGTATCTCTGTGCATTCAAATTGCCATTTGATAAAATGCAATTGTGTTCATTGTCCGTAGCTTATGCCTGCCCATACCATAACCCCACCGCCACAATGGGGCACTCTGTTCACAACGTTGACATCAGCAAACCGCTCGGCCACACGACGCTATACACGATGTCTGCCATCTGCCCGGTATTCTGCATTCCTGCAGTCAGCATGCCAATTGCCCACTCCCTCAAAACATGAGACTTCGGTGGCATTGTGTTATGTGACAAAACTGCACATTTTAGAGTGGCCTTTTATTGTCCCCAGCACAAGGTGCACCTGTATAATGATCCTGCTGTTTAATCAGCTTCCTGATATGCTACACCTGTCAGGTGGATGGATTATCTTGGCCAAGGAGAAATGCTCACTTACAGGGATGTAAACAAATTTGTGCAGAACATTTGAGAGAAATACATTTTTTGTGTGTATGGAACATTTCTGGGATCTTATATTTTAGCTCGTTAAACATGGGACCAACACTTTACATTTTGCGTTTATATTTGTGTTCAGTGTACAATACGTTTTCACCAGCTTGGCCTCTGAACCCCGAATAATGAACACCAACATATACAATAGGGTTTCACCAGCTTCGCTGCTTAAACTAAACTTCAAATGTAAACTTAAACCCCTAACAAGTGTTGTCCAAGAAACATACATCTGTCTGTTTTTAGTTTATTTCCCAACCACTCTGAGACAGACCTTGTTGGTGGGTCCACTCTGAGACAGACCTTGTTGGTGGGTCCACTCTGAGACAGACCTTGTTGGTGGGTCCACTCTGAGACAGACCTTGTTGGTGGGTCCACTCTGAGACAGACCTTGTTGGTGGGTCCAATCTGAGACAGACCTTGTTGGTAGGTCCACTCTGAGACAGACCTTGTTGGTAGGTCCACTCTGAGACAGACCTTGTTGGTAGGTCCACTCTGAGACAGACCTTGTTGGTGGGTCCACTCTGAGACAGACCTTGTTGGTGGGTCCACTCTGAGACAGACCTTGTTGGTGGGTCCACTCTGAGACAGACCTTGTTGGTGGGTCCACTCTGAGACAGACCTTGTTGGTGTGTCCACTCTGAGACAGACCTTGTTGGTGGGTCCACTCTGAGACAGACCTTGTTGGTGGGTCCACTCTGAGACAGACCTTGTTGGTGGGTCCACTCTGAGACTGTCATGCCCTGGCTCTGGGGACACTGTTATGTTGAGCCAGGGTGTGTAGATTATGTGTTTTGTTTCTATGGGTGCTATTTCTATGTTGGCCAGAGTGGCTCCCAATCAGAGGCAATGAGTGTCAGGTGTTGCTGGCTGTCTCTGATTGGGAGCCATATTTATACAGTCTGTTTTTCATTGGTGTTTGTGGGATTTTGTTTCTAGTCTGTTTATGGTAGACCGTGAACTGGCACGTATCGTTTGTCGTTTTGATCGTGTCTCTTAATAAAGAGTATGTTTGCCTGCAACGCTGCGCCTTGGTCCTCATCTCTGTTTGACGATGTTGACAGAAAATCCCACCACAACTGGACCAAGCAGCGAGTCGAGGAGCCATCGCCAGGGAAATCCCTAGCAGATCTCCGTGGCAGCCTCGACTGGGTCAAGCCGAGTGAAGAGCAGAGAGAGTGGACTTGGGAACAATGGAGGAAGAGCCTCGACTGGGTCAAGCCAATTGAGGAGCTGAATAGCGGGAGTTGGAGGCAGAAGAGCGAGAGTTGGGCGAGAACTATAGAGGCCTGGCCCACGGGGAGGAGAGACCCCCAGAAAATGTTTAGGGGGGGGCTCACGACGTCGGGGCAGCAGGAGGCCGCGATAGAGCGGTCCAGCGGGTTGGCAGAGGAGGCCGCCAGGTTACGAGGGCCACTGGTCGAAGAGGGGATGGAAGGTGTAGAGGCACGGCGAGAGGTACTGGGGTGTGTTACCAGTCCGGTCCGGCCCGTTCCAGATCCCGGTGTAGAGTCAGTGGTGCGCTCGTCAGCCCGGCATGGCCCGTTCCTGCTCCCCGCACCAAGTCAGTGGTGCGCTTCGTCAGCCCGGCTCGGCCCGTTCCTGCTCCCCGCACCAAGTCAGTGGTGCACTTCGTCAGCCCGGCTCGGCCCGTTCCTGCTCCCCGCACCAAGTCAGTGGTGCGCTTCGTCAGCCCGGCTCGGCCCGTTCCTGCTCCCCGCACCAAGCCAGGGGTGCGCTTCGTCAGCCCGGCTCGGCCCGTTCCTGCTCCCCGCACCAAGCCAGTGGTGCGCTTCGTCAGCCCGGCTCGGCCCGTTCCTGCTCCCCGCACCAAGTCAGTGGTGCGTTTCGTCAGCCCGGTTCGGCTCACTCCTGCTCCTCACACCAAGCCAGTGGTGTGCGTTGTCAGTCCAGCACGGCCCGTGCCTGTTCTCCACACCAGGCCAGTGGTGGGCGTCGTCAGTCCGGCACGGCCCGTGCCTGTTCCACTGGTGCCTGGTTCGGCACTGGTCAGATGTTTTACGCCGGAGCTAGAGCAATCCGCTCCATCAGTGTGCAGTCCAGCTCCGGACAGCGGGGCCAGACCGGACCAGGGGTACTTTGGGGGGTTGGAGAGGGAGCGGGGATCAGGCCCGGAGCCGGATCCGCCGCCTAGGCGGAGTGCCCACCCGGTCCCTCCCCTGTGGTATTTGGTTGACGCGGTCGGAGTCCGCGCCTTTAGGGGGGGGGTACTGTCACGCCCTGGCTCTGGGGACACTGTTATGTTGAGCCAGGGTGTGTAGATAATGTGTTTTGTTTCTATGGGTGCTATTTCTATGTTGGCCAGAGTGGCTCCAAATCAGAGGCAACGAGTGTCAGGTGTTGCTGGCTGTCTCTGATTGGGAGCCATATTTATACAGTCTGTTTTTCATTGGTGTTTGTGGGATTTTGTTTCTAGTCTGTTTATGGTAGACCGTGAACTGGCACGTATCGTTTGTTGTTTTGATCGTGTCTCTTAATAAAGAGTATGTTTGCCTGCAACGCTGCGCCTTGGTCCTCATCTCTGTTTGATGATGTTGACAGAGACAGACCTTGTTGGTAGGTCCACACTGAGACAGACCTTGTTGGTAGGTCCACATTGAGACAGACCTTGTTGGAAGGTCCACTCTGAGACAGACCTTGTTGGTAGGTCCACTCTGAGACAGACCTTGTTGGTAGGTCCACTCTGAGACAGACCTTGTTGGTAGGTCCACACTGAGACAGACCTTGTTGGTAGGTCCTCACTGAGACAGACCTTGTTGGTGGGTCCACTCTGAGACAGACCTTGTTGGTGGGTCCACTCTGAGACAGACCTTGTTGGTGGGTCCACTCTGAGACAGACCTTGTTGGTGGGTGTGGTCGCGTGGGGGAAATTAGGGAGAGTGAGAGCCCTGGCATTCAGAGTTTGAGCAGAATAGGATCACCTGTTGCGCAACGAGAGCCAGCTCCTCATGGCTGGTTGATGCACGGAATAAAATAAGTGTTCCTGTTGAGCAACATTTCTTGCTGTTCAATGCAATTTGATGGCCTCTATTAAAAAGAGGAGGATTCACTCAGCTTTCTATAGGCTAGGCCTACCATATTTATTTCTCAACTTTCCTCATATTAAGCACATTACTTCACTTTACAACCGGAGTAGCCTAACTGGCTGACAGGAGAATGAACTGAGGGGAAAACGTTCTCCATTTGCTATTCAAGTGCATATGGATGAAATGTCTTATTCTTTTCCTGTTCTGACAGCTGCATGATAATGGCCCATTCTAAATCAGAACTCATTTCACACATATTATTATTGTACAGTATGTTAAGGCCAGCGCTTCATTTGTAAATCGGGAGGTGCCGGAACAAAAAGTGAGCTCTTGGGGTGACCTGGGGAGCTCTGAGGTAACGGAACGTATTTTTAAAAATAAACTTTCGAATAAAACATTGCATGCATAACATCGCATTTGCGTAGAGAAGTAGATTTGAGGCACTTACAGAAGTTTCACACATGGGGAACATTTTCAGTAGCCTAGGGACAAACTGAGGTCAATAAAAAATGACCTTGTTTTGAATCCATCAATAGCCTAGGTGTGTGGAGACACATATTGTAGACTACAATATGAGGAGGACATTATAGTCCTAAAAATGCTATGCAGTTTCACTGACTCGCTGTTGATTGTTGATGCGCTCGTGCCAAAAGCATGTCTCTCTCTGTCTTTTGTAAAACAATATTTGGAAGTTGATCAAATACATTGGTAGCCTACAGCATAGTCTTCTCTTTTTTCCTCGATTGTATTTGAAATATTGCGAAAGGCCTGTTTTGTCTGCGTGCTGTTTTTACACTGACAGATTTGCTGCGTGTTCCCGACTGTAGGCTATTCCCCGACTGTAGGCTATTCCCCGACTGTAGGCTATTCCCCGACTGTAGGCTATTCCCCGACTGTAGGCTATTCCCTGACTGTAGGCTATTCCCCGACTGTAGGCTATTCCCCGACTGTAGGCTATTCCCTGACTGTAGGCTATTCCCCGACTGTAGGCTATTCCCCGACTGTAGGCTATTCCCCGACTGTAGGCTATTCCCCGACTGTAGGCTATTCCCCGACTGTAGGCTATTCCCCGACTGTAGGCTATTCCCCGACTGTAGGCTATTCCCCGACTGTAGGCTATTCCCCTGACTGTAGGCTATTCCCCGACTGTAGGCTATTCCCCGACTGTAGGCTATTCCCCGACTGTAGGCTATTCCCCGACTGTAGGCTATTCCCCGACTGTAGGCTATTCCCCGACTGTAGGCTATTCCCCGACTGTAGGCTATTCCCCAGACTGTAGGCTATTCCCCGACTGTAGGCTATTCCCCGACTGTAGGCTATTCCCCGACTGTAGGCTATTCCCCGACTGTAGGCTATTCCCCGACTGTAGGCTATTCCCCGACTGTAGGCTATTCCCCGACTGTAGGCTATTCCCCGACTGTAGGGCTATTCCCCGACTGTAGGCTATTCCCGACTGTAGGCTATTCCCCGACTGTAGGCTATTCCCGACTGTAGGCTATTCCCCGACTGTAGGCTATTCCCCGACTGTAGGCTATTCCCTGACTGTAGGCTATTCCCCGACTGTAGGCTATTCCCGACTGTAGGCTATTCCCCGACTGTAGGCTATTCCCCGACTGTAGGCTATTCCCCGACTGTAGGCTATTCCCCGACTGTAGGCTATTCCCCGACTGTAGGCTATTCCCCGACTGTAGGCTTCTTCCCACTTAGGCTTCCCTGACTGGTAGGCTATTCCCCGACTGTAGGCTATTCCCTGACTGTAGGCTATTCCCCCGACTGTAGGCTATTCCCCGAACTGTAGGCTATTCCCCGACTGTAGGCATTCCCCGACTGTAGGCTATTCCCCGACTGTAGGCTATTCCCTGACTGTAGGCTATTCCCCGACTGTAGGCTATTCCCTGACTGTAGGCTATTCCCCGACTGTAGGCTATTCCCTGACTGTAGGCTATTCCCCGACTGTAGGCTATTCCCTGACTGTAGGCTATTCCCCGACTGTAGGCTATTCCCCGACTGTAGGCTATTCCCCGACTGTAGGCTATTCCCCGACTGTAGGCTATTCCCCGACTGTAGGCTATTCCCCGACTGTAGGCTATTCCTTGTTATTGGGATACAATCCACAGCAAGGCTATTTTTTTAAAATAAGTAATTGATCATCTGTGGCAAAATTATAGGCCTTCTCATGGTGAGGTAGGCTATTCTGAATTATTTCATGTATTTCTGAACCGACAGCAGTAATTCTATAACATGTATTTCAATTTATCATGATAAAGTTAGTCCAGAACCCAGCTATGATTGTATAAATGATGAAGTGCTACGCTGGAGAGATGCTGCTAGAATCATGTCTATCAGAGCAGAGGGAGAGAGAGATCATAGGCTACCATGGAGAGATGAGATGCTGCTAGACTCATGTCTATCAGAGCAGAGGGAGAGAGAGATCATAGGCTACCATGGAGAGATGCTGCTAGACTCATGTCTATCAGAGCAGAGGGAGAGAGAGATCATAGGCTACCATGGAGAGATGCTGCTAGACTCATGTCTATCAGAGCAGAGGGAGAGAGAGATCATAGGCTACCATGGAGAGATGCTGCTAGACTCATGTCTATCAGAGCAGAGGGAGAGAGAGATCATAGGCTACCATGGAGAGATGCTGCTAGACTCATGTCTATCAGAGCAAAGGGAGAGAGAGATCATAGGCTACCATGGAGAGATGCTGCTAGACTCATGTCTATCAGAGCAGAGGGAGAGAGAGATCATAGGCTACCATGGAGAGATGCTGCTAGACTCATGTCTGTCAGAGCAGAGGGAGAGAGAGATCATAGGCTACCATGGAGAGATGAGATGCTGCTAGACTCATGTCTATCAGAGCAGAGGGAGAGAGAGATCATAGGCTACCATGGAGAGATGCTGCTAGACTCATGTCTATCAGAGCAGAGGGAGAGAGAGATCATAGGCTACCATGGAGAGATGCTGCTAGACTCATGTCTATCAGAGCAGAGGGAGAGAGAGATCATAGACTACCATGGAGAGATGCTGCCAGACTCATGTCTATCAGAGCAGAGGGAGAGAGAGATCATAGGCTACCATGGAGAGATGAGATGCTGCTAGACTCATGTCTATCAGAGCAGAGGGAGAGAGAGATCATCGGCTACCATGGAGAGATGCTGCTAGACTCATGTCTATCAGAGCAGAGGGAGAGAGAGATCATAGGCTACCATGGAGAGATGAGATGCTGCTAGACTCATGTCTATCAGAGCAGAGGGAGAGAGAGATCATAGGCTACCATGGAGAGATGAGATGCTGCTAGACTCATGTCTATCAGAGCAGAGGGAGAGAGAGATCATAGGCTACCATGGAGAGATGCTGCTAGACTCATGTCTATCAGAGCAGAGGGAGAGAGAGATCATAGGCTACCATGGAGAGATGAGATGCTGCTAGACTCATGTCTATCAGAGCAGAGGGAGAGAGAGATCATAGGCTACCATGGAGAGATGCTGCTAGACTCATGTCTATCAGAGCAGAGGGAGAGAGAGATCATAGGCTACCATGGAGAGATGCTGCTAGACTCATGTCTATCAGAGCAGAGGGAGAGAGAGATCATAGGCTACCATGGAGAGATGCTGCTAGACTCATGTCTATCAGAGCAGAGGGAGAGAGAGATCATAGGCTACCATGGAGAGATGCTGCTAGACTCATGTCTATCAGAGCAGAGGGAGAGAGAGATCATAGGCTACCATGGAGAGATGCTGCTAGACTCATGTCTATCAGAGCAGAGGGAGAGAGAGATCATAGGCTACCATGGAGAGATGAGATGCTGCTAGACTCATGTCTATCAGAGCAGAGGGAGAGAGAGATCATAGGCTACCATGGAGAGATGCTGCTAGACTCATGTCTATCAGAGCAGAGGGAGAGAGAGATCATAGGCTACCATGGAGAGATGCTGCTAGACTCATGTCTATCAGAGCAGAGGGAGAGAGAGATCATAGACTACCATGGAGAGATGCTGCCAGACTCATGTCTATCAGAGCAGAGGGAGAGAGAGATCATAGGCTACCATGGAGAGATGAGATGCTGCTAGACTCATGTCTATCAGAGCAGAGGGAGAGAGAGATCATCGGCTACCATGGAGAGATGCTGCTAGACTCATGTCTATCAGAGCAGAGGGAGAGAGAGATCATAGGCTACCATGGAGAGATGAGATGCTGCTAGACTCATGTCTATCAGAGCAGAGGGAGAGAGAGATCATAGGCTACCATGGAGAGATGAGATGCTGCTAGACTCATGTCTATCAGAGCAGAGGGAGAGAGAGATCATAGGCTACCATGGAGAGATGCTGCTAGACTCATGTCTATCAGAGCAGAGGGAGAGAGAGATCATAGGCTACCATGGAGAGATGAGATGCTGCTAGACTCATGTCTATCAGAGCAGAGGGAGAGAGAGATCATAGGCTACCATGGAGAGATGCTGCTAGACTCATGTCTATCAGAGCAGAGGGAGAGAGAGATCATAGGCTACCATGGAGAGATGCTGCTAGACTCATGTCTATCAGAGCAGAGGGAGAGAGAGATCATAGGCTACCATGGAGAGATGCTGCTAGACTCATGTCTATCAGAGCAGAGGGAGAGAGAGATCAATAGGCTACCATGGAGAGATGCTGCTAGACTCATGTCTATCAGAGCAGAGGGAGAGAGAGATCATCGGCTACCATGGAGAGATGCTGCTAGACTCATGTCTATCAGAGCAGAGGGAGAGAGAGATCATAGGCTACCATGGAGAGATGAGATGCTGCTAGACTCATGTCTATCAGAGCAGAGGGAGAGAGAGATCATAGGCTACCATGGAGAGATGAGATGCTGCTAGACTCATGTCTATCAGAGCAGAGGGAGAGAGAGATCATAGGCTACCATGGAGAGATGCTGCTAGACTCATGTCTATCAGAGCAGAGGGAGAGAGAGGTCATAGGCTACCATGGAGAGATGAGATGCTGCTAGACTCATGTCTATCAGAGCAGAGGGAGAGAGAGATCATAGGCTACCATGGAGAGATGCTGCTAGACTCATGTCTATCAGAGCAGAGGGAGAGAGAGATCATAGGCTACCATGGAGAGATGCTGCTAGACTCATGTCTATCAGAGCAGAGGGAGAGAGAGATCATAGGCTACCATGGAGAGATGCTGCTAGACTCATGTCTATCAGAGCAGAGGGAGAGAGAGATCATAGGCTACCATGGAGAGATGCTGCTAGACTCATGTCTATCAGAGCAGAGGGAGAGAGAGATCATAGGCTACCATGGAGAGATGCTGCTAGACTCATGTCTATCAGAGCAGAGGGAGAGAGAGATCATAGGCTACCATGGAGAGATGCTGCCAGACTCATGTCTATCAGAGCAGAGGGAGAGAGAGATCATAGGCTACCATGGAGAGATGAGATGCTGCTAGACTCATGTCTATCAGAGCAGAGGGAGAGAGAGATCATCGGCTACCATGGAGAGTTGCTGCTAGACTCATGTCTATCAGAGCAGAGGGAGAGAGAGATCATAGGCTACCATGGAGAGATGAGATGCTGCTAGACTCATGTCTATCAGAGCAGAGGGAGAGAGAGATCATAGGCTACCATGGAGAGATGAGATGCTGCTAGACTCATGTCTATCAGAGCAGAGGGAGAGAGAGATCATAGGCTACCATGGAGAGATGCTGCTAGACTCATGTCTATCAGAGCAGAGGGAGAGAGAGATCATAGGCTACCATGGAGAGATGAGATGCTGCTAGACTCATGTCTATCAGAGCAGAGGGAGAGAGAGATCATAGGCTACCATGGAGAGATGCTGCTAGACTCATGTCTATCAGAGCAGAGGGAGAGAGAGATCATAGGCTACCATGGAGAGATGCTGCTAGACTCATGTCTATCAGAGCAGAGGGAGAGAGAGATCATAGGCTACCATGGAGAGATGAGATGCTGCTAGACTCATGTCTATCAGAGCAGAGGGAGAGAGAGATCATAGGCTACCATGGAGAGATGCTGCTAGACTCATGTCTATCAGAGCAGAGGGAGAGAGAGATCATAGGCTACCATGGAGAGATGCTGCTAGACTCATGTCTATCAGAGCAGAGGGAGAGAGAGATCATAGGCTACCATGGAGAGATGCTGCTAGACTCATGTCTATCAGAGCAGAGGGAGAGAGAGATCATAGGCTACCATGGAGAGATGCTGCTAGACTCATGTCTATCAGAGCAGAGGGAGAGAGAGATCATAGGCTACCATGGAGAGATGCTGCCAGACTCATGTCTATCAGAGCAGAGGGAGAGAGAGATCATAGGCTACCATGGAGAGATGAGATGCTGCTAGACTCATGTCTATCAGAGCAGAGGGAGAGAGAGATCATAGGCTACCATGGAGAGATGCTGCTAGACTCATGTCTATCAGAGCAGAGGGAGAGAGAGATCATAGGCTACCATGGAGAGATGCTGCTAGACTCATGTCTATCAGAGCAGATGGAGAGAGAGATCATAGGCTACCATGGAGAGATGCTGCTAGACTCATGTCTATCAGAGCAGAGGGAGAGAGAGATCATAGGCCACCATGGAGAGATGAGATGCTGCTAGACTCATGTCTATCAGAGCAGAGGGAGAGAGAGATCATAGGCTACCATGGAGAGATGAGATGCT